ATATTATATTTGTTGTCACGGGAAAGATTTGTGTTTAAAACCGTTGAAAGCACGTGCAGGTCGTATACAGTGTCTGGCACCTTGGTGAACATAGTACACAAATTACACAAATTACGCAACCTTAATTATTTCAGAATTTCACCTTAATACGATGACGTATATTTTGTTTTAAATTTGATATCTAAAAATACACACAAAATGGTGACTTGTGAAAAATATTGGCACATGTATATATAGACAGCCATATTTGAAACAAAAAGTTCTGGCGAATGAGCATTACTAAACCTAATTGTGTACTGACTTTGATAAATTATCTGCGTTTCGTAGATTAGCAGATAATTGCCGTCTATTCGTATGTAAATTATTCAGGTGCCATTGCACTTGCTCCGATTGGTTAGTGGCTAAGTAGCCAAGTGCTCATGAGTATATAGTAAGAAGAGTATTCTATTGTATTCAGTCTCGGTTGTAAACAACTCACGATGTCCACACTGACAGAAGGCGTCAGCGAACTGATAACACCACCACCAACACCAGGACTTGCTCGACGATGTTACTAGCATATTACCACCGTGGTAGAAGACCGTTTGGCGAAATTTAAGCGCGACTTGTCTGAAGAAAATAGCAAAGCTCTTGGGACGGCGGCAAAAACGTGGCGTAGGTGATGGAGTGCCTGCATACCGCCATGGATGCCACTACTAAAAATGCTGTAGAGAAAGCCACAGACGCTCTCTGAAAGGTATGGCTCTGGTTTCTCATCGTATGAAGCTTATCAAGCTTGCTGATAAAAGCGAATTTGGGTGGGGTCGCAGTCCGATCTTTCACGATATTAGGGATATTACGCGATGGGGGCGTCTATTCTGGACCCATGTAAATACGCACTATCGATTATTACCGATTTTTCGTTAAATTCTTACACAAATTCGTTAGGCAAGGGCCGATGCTGTTGAATCAGTACACATAAGTTTAAACAACGTGGACCAAATGACCCAAAATACTCTACCTACATTGCATGAACCCAATATCGACTGCGATGATCGTCAATGAACTACACTGCCAGGCACCATCTTCGCAAATGACCACTTGTGTCAAAGTTCACCAAAGACAGTGTAACCTGATTCATATTATGGGATACTACTGTAATCCGTTTCCTGATTCTGTGAGCAACTCCTTGTGATGTGTGCCAAGTTTTTTCTCAGGTTTGTTGCTTTGATATTCATATTTAAGTTTCATATTCGACCAAAAGGTTGTTTTCCTAACTATGTATAACCTATGACAAGATTCCACAATTACAGGCGCCAAGGACTGACTATTTGCCACGGTTTTGGGGGTTTCTACTCAGTGTGCGCAATAGAGCGCAATGAGTTTCAATATGACTCCTCTAATACTAATTAGTTCCAGTAACTAACACTTTGTGAGTTGCATAACAATGAGACAGAGTTGAGAGTGTCTTTATGACTACTGTAGACACAAATTTGCTTGTTGCACGGGGAAGAAGTCAATCATAAGTATTGTTCCAGGAATATGTGATTTCTCACATGTAAGCAGTTTAAATGCTGTTTATAAGCTGTAATCTATTTTACCTCAAAAAACCTAATTTATTCCAAAAACGTGGGTTTTAGTGTGGGAGATTTAAAATAGTACTGTGGCATTTGGCAAATTAATTGTTTCACCATACAATTTAACAGAGGAGTTTAGAGATTATACTTCAGGGGCAATGTGGGGTTTACAATTATCAAAACAATGAAATTCAGTTTGCCCTCCCTGATGTGAGCCATTCCTGTCAAGTTGCAATCTAATACTGTCATTATTATTCACTAAATTTTGATTAGGTTACGTTGAATCCCCTTGAAAATATATAGTGAAATTGATCAAAACATCAGAATAGTGAATTCAATTGCAAAAATTTATTGTCAAATGTTTTGACATTAGTCCTAATAAGTACCAAATTGATATAATTATAACAATGAATATTACATCTGTGATTATATGTTTATATGTTTTCAAAGCTGGTGTATGAGTATAAGCACCCACCATTCTATATAGAGAAGACTGAAGATGTGTAATTTGAATCCACTCACTGCATATAAATTGTTATTTTAACCAGATAATTGTACATGTCATTCATATCTGTCAATGTTGTGATTATTATGTTTATAATAATTGATGTGATTCGCTAATTTATATAATCATATTAATATTTTTCCATAATCACGAACGAGTCTAAATTGTTCATAATATATTCTAGTTGCATTTACACTTTCCAAATATGTGATACAGCAGTGCCTACAATTTGAGGTACAACATTATCGTAGCTCTTTCTATCAACAGTGAGTCTTGGTATACACCGTGTAATTCAACATAGAAATTACATCAACTCGACTTGTAATTTTGCTGGTTTTCATAACACTGTTCATCATACACCTACATAAAGTAGACGGCTGTGTTCGTGAAAAAACGGAAATAGACAAGATACATGGTGATTATGCGATAAAGAAACAGGATGAAGGTAAAACTGGGAACGCAATGGACAAACGAGTTGGTCTCTCGGATATATGAAATGAATAGAATGAATTAGAAGTAAACGTCGACACCAGCCATCATGGATTGTTCACCTGGTAGAATACATTGTATATTATAGACAACGGCTGTAATTATACTGAGTTAGCTTAAACATCTTTTATTATTGTGATACATGATATTACAAAATCAATAAATATAATCAAATATGTAATTTGTTGTTGTATTCCTTGTTGTATTGCTGTGTTTTAGGTAAAATGAAAAGATGCAGAAAACATGTTAAACATTGTGTAATTTTGGTTAAACTGTTAAATAATGGTTTCATATAGAACTTGTATGTGACAACAACTAACATGGATAATTCACAACATCTTACGCATTCTGCATTGATTATTTTTAACATTATCCCAAGCTGAAGTAGTCACTGCTGAGTCTGTGCAATCCAATAGAAATATTATCAAAATAACACAATTTATAGAAATACATGCGCCGTATGCACGATTGCATTTTGAGGGATGGCGAAAATTCCAAGTTAATAAATGTAATTCTAAAAGTTAAATGTTTTCCATTGATCTCTTTTTAAACACACAAGGATCGTAATATCTTTCAATACGCTATATATTTGACACCAATTGTGTCACGTTTGGGTCACATATCTTAACATGCGAAACCGTTGTATATGGTGCATTTTACCGCAGCTTGCATAATTAAAGACACGCCCTCGATCAACCAGAACGACGTATTCGGTTGACTGAGGTGATGGTACATCACACAGTTTTGTTAACGGAAGCAGATAAATGAGACAAATACAACATCGAAATTCGTGATCTGTGAAATTCGGTTTACAATCAACTCACTATATCATTTCTGTAGAAGAAAGTTACAGACTGATATATATTGCTCGTAAAGCAGCTTGATTTAAGTGACAGAACGGGACATACATTCGATGGAATCAATTTTCAAAGAAACGTAATTATGCCAATGACAGATACATTTAAAGTATATATACGACACACAAATACATTTTAATAATATTACGTGAGCGAAAATAGCCTAATATGGTATGGAAATTCGACATGAAAATTATTTATTATTTTGTATGTAAATTACATACAAAAGGATTTGGAAAATTCTTTAACACAGAGTAGTTGTTACAAACACATTTACAGGAGAGTCTGTTTGGAGTTTTCGGTGTCACACAAATATATATCAAGATCGGTTTTTAAATAATTTTCCTTATACTTATACTTATACAAACGTATATGTATCTGGTCATAATTTTCGTAGGCCAACATATTAATTTTATAGAGGGAATATTAAATTCAACAAAAGAATCACATTCCTGGCACAAAACTATTCCGTCAAACAATATATTTACGCGTCGGACAAAGCAATTCTATCGATACAAACGACGTCACGTGAACTCCCAAACCAATCATCGGCTTTAGAAATATCCATCCCATGGTATTTTTGATCGACCATTGTTAGAAACGTCAGAACACATTGGTAGCCATTACACAGAACACATTTATTAATATCACACTGACAGTTATATGATGAATATTCATTACTGTGATTTGTTATAAAGATACAATTTACGATAACCCTGATATGTAAATAAATAAAACATATTTTCCTATGATACCATAATCTGTTAATTGACACTAATTTAATTTGATCTTTTTTACAAAGAAAATAAATCCGTTCTATAAATATTTTTCCCACGATACCGTAGTTTTTTTTTCGATCGACCGCCTGCCACGACCTCATTAATTGTATCCCGTGTGCCTTACGCTACTCGTCTTGGGCATATACCAACAACATTTGAAGGAAAAGATTATGGCGTTCAAAAAAGGGGTCTATCACCTACTGCTCTAGCACTACTTTTCAAATAAACTAATTGAAAATGAATATTGGACTTGGAATTCCCATTTCTTTATATGGTGGGATGAAAATATCCCGTAAAATACCGCAAAATTACGCCACGCTGTAACTTACGTTACGCTTACAGATGTATAATAATATGTTTATACTTATGTCACCGTTTATACGTCGCAAGCGTGCGTTTTCCCAATTTGATTCGTTTCACGCCCTGAACTACCTTCTATGATTATGCCACTTTTATTATTAGAAAGATATTTTTTTTGTTACGAAAGATATATATTGGCAACTACTATTCTAAACCGACGTGGACAAGGGGGGGGGGACGTAAAGAATGTTTTGCATACAACTGTATGAGTGTATATAATGAAAGCTAATTATCTTGTTATTGGAATAGCCCACGCTGGAAATTAACAAATGCAGGGTGGAACAAATTGAATATAATATTATAATAGTCATAGAATTTCGCTACGATTTCACATGAACAATAAAAACATATGCAAACAAAAACTATATATGCATAACCTATGTTGTATAGTACATTTCAAAAAGTCTATACCAAGCCACGCGTGACTATATGAAATCTTGCGAGGTTGCTGGTTTCAAATCTCTGGTATATTCAAATTCAGCTGTTCTTGAACGTCTTTTGTGAAACCTTTACCACGCCGCTCCAGTAACCAATAGGTGGACATTCTGACTTTGCCCTGTAAGCAAATGATTGTAATTTCAGACTCAATTAATACGAGACCATGGCACTAGCAATATATCCACCGATAGATTACACATAGTGAATGTATAATATTCAACTATTTGCGCAGCATAGTTTTCAGGGCGTGTGATATGCCGTCGACTGGGCACTGGTGTTAGTGTATGTGATATTCAACCAATAGGCGGACATTGCTATCAGTGTATGTAACCAATGAGGAGACGTCGATGTGCGTGTTTGTGATAGTTACTTAGATTTGTCATTATACCTTAATAACAATGTCTCCTCTCTGTTTTATAACCAAAAACTCGATGTCTTTCAAAATATCGAAGGTATGCTCACTCAACTGAATACGATTTGCTGCAAAATGAAAAAAAAAAATATCTTAGGTTGGTTCACATGTTGTCACCACTACGCACCGAGAATATCACTCCTATCTCAGTGATTGTTGAATCATCTGTATACCAGTATCATGTACTGCCATAAAGACGACATCTACTTACGCAGACCGGTAGCCTCCATTCTTGAAGCAATTCTCACTGAGTCGCCAAATAAGCAAATAAGCAGTAGCGAGGCATCTTGGTACCGACGATCCCAGCTGCAACTGGTCCAGTATGGATTCCAATGCGTAAAGTCATCTTCGTTCCTGGCTTGTGGGGAATTACCAAACTTTCTCCGAAGGTCACCATATCCAATGCCATAATAGCTATCTCACTTGCATGCCGGTTACCATTAGGTTTAGGAATTCCTGTATAAATAAAACAACAATGTCATTGATGAAAATGAGAATGAACAAATAAAAGGCAATTCAAGCTGCAATGTTCTGACAATGTCCAATCAGCTTCAAGTATTAACTTGGGTAAACAGCGCCCTCACCTGACACAACCATATACGCATCGCCAATAGTTTCTACTTTGTACACGTCATAGAGATCAATTCGTCGGTCAAAGGTTGTATACACATGATTCAGCAGTTCTACAACCTGCATCGGAGAACTATCCGAACAAATACGAGTGAAATCGACAATATCCGAGAAAAAATGGTCGCTTCTGAGAAAGATTCGGCAGTGACATTTTTGTTCTCCATCAACTGCCGAGCAATAGTCTTTGGCATCAAGGAGTAAAGAATAGAATCGACACGTTTTCGTTCTTTGTTCAGCGCCTTGGTTTGTTTGGCTAAAGTTAGAGCATAGTTTTGAATATTCCACCGCTTTGATGATAACGCCGCACATTATCAAGACCACGGCCATGATACCGATGCGAACACCAAGTTTTGAATTGTCTTGGTTTATCAGTTCTTCCAGTTTATAGACTATTATTTCGGTCATACGACGCTGGCTGTCCTTTAAAGTGTCGATGTAAATTGTCATATTATTAAACCACCAGTTACCCTCCTGCCACGATGGTTCTCTCGATTGGTTCAGCTGAATTGGCCTTCTCAATTGCCCAATCGTGCTTCGAAAATCGTATTCTAATTGTTGTACCTTGTATTCTAAATTTTCACCAACTAAAGGGGAGTACTTCTGTGACGCCCAAATGTTCCGCTCCCCCACCTACCAATATAATAAATATATCAAAAGTTATATCAAAATATATTGTATTGTACTCTGAGCTTTGCTGTGCTGTGCTGTACTGTGACGTGATGTGTTGCGCCATCATCGGTGAACTTTGGCTATAGCCGCCATCAATCATATTGCACTGCTGTTCACTCTTTAGAAACGAACCGTATAATTATACAGCTTAACTAGTCCGCTGATTATCCCCCAGATTTTCCTATTCAAAAAAAATGAATCTTGGATTCAAGATACAGTTGGGGTAGACTGCGTTGAGTTGGGTTGGGTCAGACTGTGTTGCAATGTGTTGGACTGGGTTGTGTTGTGTTGCTTTGGGTTAAATTGTACTGTGTTGTGCCTTAGTATCAAGAATACCTGACATTTTTCTATACACCAGAGATAGTCCTGTCGTCGATGAAATCCTCCCTGAGTATAAAACACTGCCCCCAATGTTCTCTCAATTCCGATTTGTTCCATGCCAACAACCAGGAGCTGGTAAGCGACCAATGTCTCCCATAACCATTGACCGCTGAATTTACCAACTGCTTCGTACAACCAGTCGCTGAGTATGTGAATTGCGTCCGTGTAGAAATAGATCACCTGATAAGTGGGAAGTTATAAATCAGCGATGCGCAATACGTGAATGCAATAAATATTAATAAATAAGTTGTATTTAAAAAAAGTCCACAATTTGCAAGTTTGTGACATTGATATCGCAAATGCATAAAAATAAAAAAAAGTTAAATCCCCGTGTCTGCAGTTAAGCGAGAGCATTGCACGGACGGAAGAATATGTATTTGTGTTATAAATATTCAAAGACGTAACAATTGGCAATTAGATCATGGTAAACCGAGTCATCATAACCTACTAACACATATTCACAGCTATGGACGACTGGGGTTGTCGCATTTGCTGTAAATATTCACACACTTTTAAGATCATTTACCGCCGAAATATTAAAATGTGGAATGAGGGATATTGCGGCAGTGGTTTTCATCTCTGTCTCAATGCTTAACACAAACCTCATGTATTGTGGGGTTGTTAACATCTAGTGTCATACGATATTCGAACAGGAAAGACTTGAAGGCTTCTATGTTTTGAAAATGTTGATACGCCCTCGTCCCATAAGACGGCCAGTCAGTCAGACTTTCCAATATGGCATCCGTTGCCGGGTATGTATTGATTAGAAAGATTTTTCTTTCGGGTCCCGGAAGAGCCTGTTCCTTTGACTGAATATACAACGCCGTCATGTCACGCTCAATCTGGAGGCTGTGTATGAGGTCGCCCACTTAGCCACTGAATCGTACATTATGCCATATCTGAGCAGCATCCACGCTGAGGTAGATAGTCTACAAGGTGAGAGAAAAAACAGATATTCTACTTCCTATTACATCCCAATTATAGAAAGAACTGTTGTCAATTGTTGTTGACGAAAGCCTATACAGAATTGAATCATATTTGGAAGCTCATTATCTCGACCTCGTTAGCTGAATTGATCTACGGATATGGCTTCAATGGACTCATTATTTTGACCCAGTTTGCGATTACTATACGACGGAAACACTCCAAGTAGCGGTGAATCTGTCACAATGGCCGTCTTGTTGCTTTCTCGCACCCAACGAAATATATTTCGTCTATGCGAATACATTTGTACTTTTTCCCTGCTCTTCGCGCGATTACATTTCTACGCGAAATAACGAGCAATTAACCTTCTCTGTACGCAGTTTGCCGATCGAAATAATCTACCACAGGTGGCGCTTTTCCCGGGATTTATTAATCGTTACCTAACTGCAAGAGGGTTTTATTTCTCACGTTTTCCGTGGCCGTTTCGTCGCTCTGATTTTTTGCTTGAGCAAAAGAGTGGAAGACTATGTTTCCTTCTCGTCATAGCGGATAATGTAATTTCATGTTGGGCTGTATGAAATGCTGTGCCATAATTTGGCGTTTACTCCGATTGTTAGCATGTTACCTTGGCAACTAAATAATTGTCCATCCTAAATAAGTTTTTCTATCAAAAGGCCAGTCTATAAAATCACGGGAAAATCCTCTACTGTCAAGATCAAAGCAAATTCGAGTTTCAGCTTCAGCAACACAATGCAAGGTTTATATAAAACCACAGTTCGGAGTTTCCACTTCAAATCTATATAAAGAATGTATTTATTCAAACATGGCCGGGCGCAACATTTATAAAGCAGACTATTCTATGATATCCATAATGAGGTTCCGCGTTCACACGATTTTAATGTAGCTTCAAGATGTGTTTGTTTTCTTATGTTGCGCTGATTATCATTATGTTTTGCATTTTTACTTTCCCTTCCATTGTATTGGACGTAATCTCCAACGGAAATATTTCTGAACGAATATTGAGTTACGGTAAGATTTCTGTGATTGACTTTTCGATTCGTCGTCCAACACATTTGCAAGTTGCATTGGCAAGAAATCGGCGTAGGAGAGGCCGAGAATTATATCGAGATTAATGGTGCCACTTTGTCACGGTAGCTGCTCAGGCTCAGTCTGTTCTGGAGGTTGCAACCTAGATCAACAATATGCATACTGCCGTCAAGAATTTACAAACTTGTGAAAAATTGTCGGAATTGTTTTGTCTAAAATACTTAGGTCATACCATTCAGTCAACCTCAAATTTCCCAATAGACCACACGCTACATAATAGAGACGGTTTTTGGTACGTATCCACCCCACTGCATTTTCTGACCTTCCGTAGAAATATTGGATGCAGAAATTCAACTTTTCTGCAATAATCTCGCCTTACTGAAAGGAAATTCGAATTCCGAAGCCGAAATACGTAGACTGACTTCAAACATACAGATCGAGCTCCTGCTAGATTTCCTGCTAATTCTGATGAATTACGATATCGTCCACGTGACCAAACTGAACACCAATCAACTTGTCGTAAAAAACATACCGACCAATCAGAATCCGAACAAGATACAGTTCTTGAGTATCGAGCCCACCTGTTATAATTTTAGTACATGTGTATTCGAAATGGCAGGTAGAAAACGATTACAAGAGTCTCGTACAAAAAAATGTTTTACACCTTTTATAGAATGCTCAATTTAGAGCGGTGACGTCGTCGCAACAGCGCATGTGCATAGGAAAGCAACAAATGTTAGCATATTGGTATAGCGACTAGTTTTTAGAGATCTACTAAAAGGCAATTCTCACTTACTTAAAAGCTCATACATTGGACTTAGATAACGTTTTTTTGACGATAATCTATTAGTTACGACCGCGAGATATGTCTTTGTTTTGCTGTGTTTATGTTCGTGATATTGGTAATGACCAACCAAAAAAACAATAAAATACGCACGTGCGCAGATTTAACGACAGTGTCGCTTTAACGAAGAGAATATGAAGCGTCATCATGATGATTATAATTAAAACAGAAAATGACAAATAAATGACGATTAAATCTCAGAATTGATCTGTAAAAATTATACTAATTAAAAACGTAAATTATAAATATAGTGTTTTAATTTAGTCTTTTAAATCGGATAAAGCACCTAATGTGCGAGGTATTGAAAAGGCGACAAACACGAGACATTGTGTATCGTCCTGTGGGGGGCTTTAAAAAATTACTTTCTTGAATACAGTGTACGGTGAATTTTATTAAATTCTTGACACTGGTTATCAGAAATAAACAACTTTGGAGAAGGTATGAAAATTAAGTCGGAGTTGCTCATATAAAATTGTGATTATCGCAAATAAATGAAAAAACATGTCTTACTGCAGTTGGAAATGAAAAGGTTTTTGTGTGTAATTTTACTTTGAGAAAATATGAACGTTACCTTGGTTAGATCGGACAAAGCCAACACAGTTAACACGCAAATCGGTAATAAAGTCAAAGTCAACATCTTCATGGTGAGTTTCCTTTTTCCCGTTTGGGTGAGATTAGTTGCTCTACATAAACCCTTTTCATTTCCTTCAAGTTCATCGCGAATAGAAGATCCTATGTTGCTCATTGAACCGTAACTAGATTTCGATGAGCCTGAATCGCTGCCTGGCTGGAAAACCGTCACCACATTCTGTTCTTGTCCACGATTTGCTTTCCAGTTTACTTGTAAAATAAAATAATACGCTCGAGTGGTGTTAATGACATGAACACGAATTAACACGAAAAGCATAGTTCAATCAACACTATTGTGTGTGGTTACTACGTCCATAGAAAGTTAATTGATTCTAGTTTTATAATAGGAAAAGTATATAGATGAACTTACGCAAATTTCTTAATACGTCCATTTTTTCCATTACGATGTTCTGTTGAGGTACTGCTTATCTTCTTGTAACAATACGCAACATCCGAGTGATATGCAAATAATGATAGCATGTACTAATGACTGATCATATCGTGGCATTATATGTCACATGTATGTTTTTGTTTAGCGCATGCGTAGATGAAAATACGACACATGATCTAGGTCTTCATATTCGTTTTAATTCACTAAATTTTCAAATTTATTGAGCTTTCCTTCTTCTTTTTTTTTTAATTGTTCTTTTTTTATTTTAGTCATATTTTTCCTTAATTATATATTTTTTTAATTTTGACTGCGAATCCCTAAGATTCTCCATAAAAAAATCTCGATCGTGGGATCTCAAAAAGCTAGGTTAGTCAACCAATCAAAGTAGGCCTTGTATTCATAGTCACACCTATGCATTTTTGGTACGACATAGTGGCCGAAAGTACACCGAAAAACGCAATTTACTGAACAATTACCGGAGCTGTGTACAACAGCAGGACGCGTAACGAACTAATCCCAATTGTTTAGAGTTCCATTTATAGTCTACATGTCGGTTTAAGGTATAGGTGCATGTTCGTGGGCACTCGGAGTGAATTTTTTTTTTTTTTTTTTTGCTTTTTCTTATCCAGACAGTCTTGGCTAGATAGTGTTAAAATTTCGGAGCATTGTCTATAATGGAACATACTCATCGATTTTAAAATATAGGGAAACCAGGCACGCGTATGTGATTAAAAAAATCCCGAAAGTTTGTCTACGTTGCTCTTTGATTGACAAGTCACTGTTGATGTTATATGTAAATGAGTTGTTGGCCTCCGTTATGGTGCGGCGATGTGCGACTTCCTGTCCTGGACCCTGTTTAGCTTACCTCAAGCGCTACCAACTAGTCTCGCAAACTACAAAAAAACAGACAAGACGTAGACGCTTCCAGCATGCAAGCGGAATAAAAAACATATACTAGTAGTTCTAAATGATAAGTAAACTTTTTCACCCTTATCTCGACAACTTCTACTCTAGCCTCCCAGTGGTATACTGTTAAATAATTTAATTTGTTATGCATTTTTTTTCTTCAGAGGCATTGAAGTATACATTTTTCGTTTCGCTGTAATGACCACCATGCTGATAGCATTGCGATGCAATCATTTTTTATGGATAAACACCATTGCTGTGCTGTCATCAATAACTAACTTTTCAATGGCAAAATACACAAACGTAAAATGCTCGGTTATTTAAAAATAAAAAAAATACCCTGGCAGTTATAGAAAAATCGGCAAACGAGATGGTGTTTTTAAACACCGCGGAAAAATCGGAAACTCCCTTGCCAGTTAGCTTGCTCCGGTAGCGATGTCGCTTGTATGGCCGTGCTCGGCGACCTCTGGTACTAAGACGATCTATGAATGAGGTATTTCCAGAAGTCAGGGTTCGTTTAATTTCTATCGACTCGTCTAGTGTGTAGTTGAACAGTAGTTCCCCTTCCATTTCGATTTTTTCGATTGAGTAGTAAAAACTGCGAAAAGCCGATGTGTAGCAAAATGTTACGGTCCATTTCAACCTGGCTGTCTAACTTCGCATGGTCCATTTCACCGGAGATCGCGAAAAACTGCGTCATACAAAGTATTTTTTAAAGGTTTGAGGGAAGGTAAATTTAGACTCAACCCACCCAATGGCGATTGCTATGTTTATATAACTGCATGAATATCTCAACGGCTTTACGTTATCCATTGTGCCCCTTCCTCAGTGGAATTGATAACACGACGCGACTTATTGTAATCGAAGAAACGAAATTGGATGGCAAACATAATAGATAATATACTGTAATCAGAGAAAATGGGTTTTATAGGCACAATATTTACAAAATATTTGCCGAAAATATTTTAATTAGTAAATGGCTCATTTCGCTAATTACAGCGAAACAAGTGTCCTACACGTACAGTATTCACAATTTTCGGACAAAACTTGGCCAGGGTATTCACCTTTCAGTCGTGTAAATAACTTCA